GGTATAAGAATTAGCTCAAGGAAACGACCCACATCTAATGAATTGAAGTGTAAGGATAACCATTGCCAAAGTAATAAATCTCTCCAAAATCCTATTGGACATTTCTACTGAGGAGGTCCTAGCAAAGGGCTTAAACTTTCATTGAATTTCACATTGCCTTGCTTTCCCGAAAGTTGTTCTCATCCAGGGTGGACTGCAGTTTCGACCTCGAAGTGTTATCAACACCTCCAGCGGAAGTCGAACCGTGACAGTGAAGAACGGGAGCTTGACGTGTTAACCACTCGACCATATTACCACGAGTGCCCTTGGGTCACAGGGCGGATGTGAATTTCAAGGAAGGTTAGGCCTTTTGCCATATCATATTCTTTGGTGGGAATGTCGATGAAGCAAACGTATATTTGCTATAGCAATCGACTACGTTACTTATTTTTCGTATTTGAGTAGAGTTTCGAGACTACCAGTAAATCAGTTTCGAAACTACTCAAATACGAAAAATAATATAAGGAAGCTTAGGGAGAACGAGCAACTAGTATTAATGGCAGACAAAGGAGGAGCAGTAGTAGTTATGGCTAAGACTGATTATATAAAGAAAATATTAAAGGCATTAGGTGATGACACAGCATATAAGACTATAATTACGGACCCGACAGAAGCCCTTAGGGTCAGACTTAAGGGTTTTCTGTAACAATGTGTAAGCAGTGAAGAACTGGAAAAGTGGAAAATGAATGCACTTCTCCAGCGAGATGCTAGACCCCCAAATGTGTATGGTCTCCCCAAAATCTGTAAGCAAGGTACTCCACTTAGGATTTTTGTAAATAATAGAAGGAGCGTGATGCATAAAGCATCATGATTTATATGCACTCAGTTAAAACAAGTCTCCAAAACTTGAAAGTTTTTATTAAAGGACTCCTACGACTTTATTAGGTTAATTAATGATCAGACGATAGAAAGAGACCTACCAGTAAGTTTTGATGTACACTAACATTCCGATAAATGAGGCGATGAAGGCGCTAGAATTAACTCTAGATCAATACCCAAAAATCATAACAGAGAGAAAGTTAAGCAAAGGTTCAATCATTAGATTTGTCAATTTGGCAATGTATAAAACATATTTTATCTTTAATGGTAGGTTGTATGAGCAGACACGGGATTTAGCTATGGTATCTTGTTTAGCCCTTATTTTAGCTATTAACTACATGACCCAATTAAAAGTTCGTGTGTTTCAACAGACGCCCCTAGTTCCCAAGTTATTAGTTCGTTATATGGACGATTACTTTGCTGGTTGGCAACACGGCAAAGATAGTCTGGAGGGATTCCTTGGGCTAATAAATAGAATAGATGCAAATACTAAGTTGAGCATGGAGATAGAAGAGGAAACTAGATTGCCTTTTTTGTATGTATTAGTGAGCAAAAAAGGTAATAAGCTAGATAGAAACGTATATTGGAAACCCACTAACGCAGGTTTCCTTATTAATTTTGCTCAAACCATACATATAAAGTAAAAATAGGAGTTATGAAGTTCCGACTTGACAGAACATAATTTCGACAGGCGAAACCCAGTCGGTCTCTAAATTACATAGCTTTAGATAGATTAGACATAATTTATAAATTATTTTATATTCTTTTTCTAGGTTATCTTAATCCTAGGTCACCCCTTTTGAAAAATGGGCGAAAGCTGACACTTAGGCCATCATCATTTGGCTAGCGCCTCTATTTGAAAGACACATGATTGAGGTGTTGTAGGGATTTTACGATCCGGATGACTTCTGACTTGCCTAGAGCAAGTGGCCTGTTCATAATTGCGCTTCGACTATTTGTACCAAGTTTATTGTTCGAACGGCTGAAAAACGACACTTAGTTTGCCATCGCTACCTAAGCCTAATTTCTTATCCAAATGCGTTTTTTAGCTCGAAGCCCTGATGATCTTGGAGTAGATTATTCTGTTCTGTTTTGATCATTCGGCTAATTTTGATTTCGTATGTCCGCACGCGCAGGTACATGAACATAGAGCTGTATCTCAATATAGATAGATATTTTAACAAAATATCCAAGTCTTTTATATCTTATGCTAGTTGATTTATTAAGGACTAGATATAACTAAGAGACAAACTGATTAGCTTTCTTCATTTGCTCTATGCTCGAGACAGACATAACAGGGCGTCCCTGTTGTGCAAAAGGGCATGCTCAGCACTTTCTCCATAACCGATAAAGGGTGCCTCGAGGACTTTTCTAACTCGAATGTCTTAGTAAAACTAAGCGATAAAAGACCATAGGTATCCTGCCTTCGTCCTTTGGTGGGATCGACTTGAGAATATTTTAATCAGACTTTCACTCTAGAGTTAATCCTTTAGTCTACTCTACCATTTTCCAGTCTATTTTAGCCTATTTGAGTAGATTATTATTAATTGTTCTAGTAAAAGTAGTAATAGTATTGATTAATAGGATCAACAAAAGGAAGATATCTGGACTATTATTACCATGCTTCGTTATAATAAAATAATCATTCATAATAGGATATGTTCCAGCCCGGCATACAGTAAACTAAAGTGGATGCCTCGAATAGGGCATCACGCCTAACGTCTAGCGAAACTAAGCGATAGCAGATTATGGGGAACCAACCGTCATATTATAGTAAGATCAACCAACGAATCTCTTCATCACATGCTTTCACTCACTGATACACTTAGATATTGTCTTCATGATTTGAAGATGTTTTGTGCCATACTTGGTAGCTCATACTTCTGACTGTCAATGATTTTTTCTTCTCTCCTATTTTTTTAAATAGTTTTGTATCAACTCAGTGGCCTCGACAGACGGATTTGCGATTAGATAAAGCTGTTCGCTCAGCCTGTGTCAAGAGCCTCGGTGTCGAGGTAATTTTATCAGAAAATATTCGTCTCGGGCATATTATGCAACTGATTTATAAATGACTACTTTGATTCGTATGATTTTCTTAACTTCAGATTATATTGAAGTTGTTTGACCTTGTTTTCTCAACTTGGTCATATTTGAGGGAAAATCTAGAGGAACGCACCTAGCCCGGAATCAATAGTATGCATGTTTATTTCCAGTGTAGGATCGTTGGCTCGGTACATTTCCAGACGTTTCGTCGACAATGAGCCTTGCCACTCGTAGCATCACACTACAACTCGTCAAAAAGGCAATGGAAGTCGATACTTTGACTAATCATTTGCTGAACAGTTATGTTATCTTTCCTGTCTAGCTTCATTTACTCTTCCTATATCCTCGTAACACACATCTATCACAATTTCTTGCTTATCTAAACCTAGTTCATGTGTGCCCTTTTAATTGGATTAAGTGGGAACTATTCACACTTCCTGCTGGTTCCCTCACCCCTCACCCTCCACTGTGCTGGGAATGTTTTGATCCAAGTCCGTCTTTTTAGTCCGCATTTCTCTTTATCCAGCTCCTATCAGATTCTCCCTCTTTCCTCAAAGGATTCGTCTTTTATCCGTCCGATTTAGTGATTTCACTCGACAACTGTCACCATATTGGTGCTACGCGAGGCGTTATTTTCTACATTCTGCCTCAAGCCTTTGATAGAACTGAGTATGCCCCCAAAGTCTGGAATCTCAAGTTGGATGCAAGTCTAACCTGACGTCTCAGATTCTTATTTTACTGTTGGGCATGTGGACTGGGTAGATCTCGTGGTAAAGCCTTTACGGACCACGTCTATGATCAAACTCTTGTATCTTTTTTTTCGTTTGAGAAGGCGGGTCGAAGGGCTTCGTAGATTGGCCTCACCGGATATCGCGGGAGGGTTGCCTTGGACTTTTGTCTGTTAAATATTACAAAGAAGACCTCATCTCACTGTATTACGACCCCGATGACTCCGTGCTGAGTTTTCGTCCGTTCTGTGACGGACATCGTTAGAGCCAGAAACCATTATCCACGAAAAATCACCCAAAACACTAAACCAAGAAAGGGTGGCCTTCTGAGATCCTACTCCTTATAGCTCACTTTGCGATCTTAATGAAGTATTTCATGACTTGGTTGGCTGACGTATGTTTGTCCTACATGCATGTAAGTCATTTCTAGTTCCGAAACTATTGGTCAGATGATTACTTTGCTTCCTGGCAGAATGGCACCGAGTGTTTGGATGACTTCTTTTGTTTAATGAATAGAGTAAATAGGGCGACTAAATTCACTATTGAGTAGGATAAAAGGAATAAGTTACTT